CTCTCTGTCTGAAAGTGAGGTTTCTGTGATTCTACATCTCTGGTCTCCTAGGAGCTCCCACGCCACCTTCTCAATGCAGCCACAGCTTGGATCACCGGCCCGTGGCCCAGTCCGGGTTCTGTCAGGCTGGCTCTTCCCCAGCCAGGTAGAAATCTAGCGTAGGTCCCTAGACTTCTCTGGTCACTCTTAATAAAAGTCCGGTCGCTTTGGGCCGCAGAAAAGGTGTCATTTTAGTCATTACTCTGTCCAGTTCACTGAAACTGTCAAAACTGCAAACTGGTTTCAGGTGTCTCCCCACCCCAACCCCAACCCGTGATGTGACTGCACTTCTCTTGGTGCTTCTGAGGCACAGAGGAGGAGGGCGTGCCCCTGGAGGGCTGGTGGCACTCCTCAGGCTCTCACTCGCAACCCTGCCTTCTTTGTGGCCTGGGGAGGAGAGGCTGAGTAGATGATCTCACAGCCCTCTTCAGCCACTTCCTTCACAAGTCCTGAAAGGGTAGGGGTCTCTCCTGGCACAGGGGTCTCTCTGTGGGAGACCTTGCGTCTGGGGGCCATAGCTGAGACAGAAAGCCTTCCCTGCACATCTTCTGTTTCCTGAATGGTGGCTCAGTGTCATGAAGCCCCTGGCTTAGAATGGAGAAGGAGGAGACAGAGAGTGGCTCCAAATGGAAAAGTTCCTCACTGGGTGGGACTTTTGCAGGGGAGCAGACCAGAGGCAAAGCCCTGGGTTTTGTTGGAGGAGGAGAGAACACTGGCCATTTCACCCGTGGCCTATACAGGGCTGCGCTGATGACCCACCACCTGCAATAGGGGCACAGCCTCTGTGACTTTGGAGGTATTTGGAAAGGCAGTCTCACTTCCTAGTTGGGCCTGCCTTCCTCTTCCTGTGAGGACTCTGCAGATTTCAGAGGTCAGGAGGTCTGGGATAGGGCTGCAGAGCCAAGGAGAGATGGCTATGCCCCACCCTGAGTGCCACCCTCACTTGCTCCAGTGGGCAGTCCCCTCACCATGGAAGTGGTGCTCCACCCTGATCGCCTTGGACATCTGCGCCTCCCAGGCTGTTGGGAGGTCAGGCATGGGAATCTGAACTATGAGTCATCAACAACTCAGTGGACTACAGATTTAAAAAATAATCAAGCATTTCACACCCATCGGATTAGCAGAAAATTATAAAGTCTGACGCTACCAAGTGATGAGGAACAATGGCGACTTTCATGTGCTGCTGGTGGGGGCCGGGGAAGGTCCAGGTTTAGCCTGAAGCTTAAACAATTGGGGGGACTATCTTTATAAAAGAATACAAAATTAGGCAGAGTCTTGGAAGGGGCATTAGTAAGGAGGGGTCTTGAACTTAGTTAAACATCATCGGCTTCCCAGTAAATCTGCTCCTGGGGTGTGTAAATTGGAATTACTCTTTTGGACGGCAATGTGGTAACATCTGGGAAAACAACAATGTGCACATCCCCTGTGACCCAACAAGTCACATCCTCTACGTGTTTATGGGAGAAATTTCCAACAGGTAACTACAGAGGCAAATATGAGAATGTTCTTGGCAATGCTGTCTGCAGTAGCTAAAGGCAGCAAATTGGAACTATCCCAAGTGTCTATTAACAGAAGACTGGATAAACAAAGTCAACATGTACAAATCTCAGAACATAATGTTGCCTGGAAAGCATGTTGCAGAAGGATATGTACGGTATGCTGGCATTTTCATAAAGTGTGAAAACGTAAAACAATGCCATGTGTAGGTCATATGTGTGCAGTGAAAGTCTAAACTGTGCTTGGAAGTGAACACCACATTCAGCCTACAGGTGGCCCTGAGGATGGAGGGAGAGAGAGGATAAGATAACAGAAGAATGTCTAGGGGGCTTAGATGCCATCTGAAAGCTTCATTTCTTTAATACATAAAAGCAAACAAGGCAAAATATTAAGATTTGACAAAGTTGGGCAATAATTATGTAGGTGTCTGTTAAAGTATTATATATATTCTTCTGTGATATTTGAAATATTTCTATCTTTGTTTTTTAAACTTGAGCGAAATTCACATATCATCAAACCAATCATTTTAAGTTGACAGTTCAGTGGCATTTAGTGCGTTCATGGTATGGTGCACCCACCAACTCAATCTAATTCCAAAGCGTTTGCATTACCCCCCAAAAGGAAACCCCATAGCCATTAAACAATTGCTCCCCTCGGTGCCTGGTTAACCACCAGGGTTTGTGTTCTGTCTCTACAGATTTATCTATTCCAGATATTTTATATAAACGGAATCATACACTATATGACCTTTTGTGCCTGGTATCTTTCGCTTAGCATAGAGTTTTCAAGGTTTATCAACTTTGTAGCACGTATCAGTACTTCGTTCCTTGCTATGGCCAGGTCGTATCCATCGTTTGGGTGTGTCACACTTTGTTATTTAGTTCATTGCTGATGGCCACTGGGCTGTGTGTTATTGTGAAGAGTGCTGCTATGAACATGCATGTGCCAATACTAAAGTCCCTGCTTTGAATCCTTTGGTTATATACCCAGGAGTGGAATTGCTGGGTCAGAGGGTCATTTTTTGAGGGAACACCAAACTGTTTTCCACAGTGACTGAACCATTCACATTCCCACCAGCGACATACAAGGGTTCCAATTTCTCCACACCCAATACTTGACGTTTTCCATTTTTTGGATGCTAGCCAGCCTAATGGGTGTGAAGTGGTATCTCATTGTGATTTCTTTCTTTCTATTTATTTATTTAATTTATTTACTTATTTATGTATTTTTTTGAGACCAAGTCTCACTCTGTTGCCCAGGCTGGAGTGCAGCAGCGTGATCTTATTGCAACCTCTGCCTCCCAGGTTCAAGTGATGCTCATGCCTTAGCCTGCTGAGTAGCTGGGACTACAGGCATGAGCCACCACGCCTGGCTAAGTTTTTTAAAAAAATTTTTTTATTTTTAGTAGAGACATCGGTCAGTCTGGTCTCGAACTCCTGACCTCAGGCGATCCACCCACCTCAGCCTCCCAAAGTGCTGGGATTACAGGCGTGAGCCACCGCACCTGGCCTCATTGTGGTTTCAATTTTGTTTTCCTAATGCCTGATGATGTTAAGCATCTTTTTATGTCCATATTGGCCATTTGTATATCTTCTTTGTAGAAACCTCTGTTCAAGTCCGTTGCTCATTTTCTAATTGGGTTGTCTTTTTGTTGAGTTGTAATATTCCATAATTTAAAAAAATACCTCCCCCGGGGTGGCCAGCGCCTTCTCAGGCCGTTTAATTCCGCATTCCTTCCACACATCAAATATATACAGCTTCATATTTACAGTCCACACAGAGGAGAACTGAGAGGCTTGGGGCCAGCTTTCTCCTCTTCTCTCCCAGGCACCTGCTAGCCCACCCCTAATCTAGAGCATGAGGAAGACGCCTGGAGGTGACTGTGCGTTGCGGGTCTCCTAGGAAGTGAGGAAGGGAGGTGGGGAACAGGGGTGAGGTGGAGAAGTGACTTTCTAAGTCAGCTGAGAGAAGCGTTCTGGGCGAGGGGGAGTTGTTTGTTCTGGAAGCCCCGTATGGGCAGGCCACAGAGCCACGCTGGCGCTGTCGGAGCAAGCTGCCAGTAGTAGACGGTTCCAAGGTTTCCCACACCCCTGTAGTCTCTGCAGCATTGGTGGGTTGGGTGGGAGCCTCCGGTCACCTTTCCCGCAGATGAGATCGCCCCGTCTCACTGGACTGTTCCTACTCTCAGGGGCACTCCCTCTTGTATGTTGAAGACCAGCGCGGGGCTGGCTCTCTGTGAATGGTGGGGCTGCGTTCATTGGCGTCCCGGGTTTCCTCTAAATGTAACTGCTTTGATTCCGCCTATCCCTAGGATTTAAAGTCACCGGTTCCACCCAGGTTGGGGTTCGACTCGACTTTCACCCCAAGTTCAATGATAGTCCTGCTCCCAGGCCGCCGCAGCGGCCCCTGCCTAGCCCCTGCCCCCAAGCCCTCCTTGGAAGAACTGACCCTCCCCCTCCAATCAGGCAATAACAACCTGGGGTCCAATTTTTAAACAGCCAGGCTCCGACATTTTCTTTCCCCTCCAACTCTCCACGCCTGTGCTTCTGAGGGTGGGGTGCCGGAAAAGGTGTCCCTGAGGCAGCGACGGACCGCACCCACAGAATATACAGGGCACACCCCTCCCAGGTGAGGGCCAGCGGGCCCCGGGGAGTTGAGGCTGAGGGAGGTCACTTCGGCTTCGCGACGCCTTGAGCGTTTATCAGGAGTTCTCAGTAGGAAGCGCTTTCCCGCAGCCTCAGGCAGAGACCGTGCGCGCAAGGCGGGACCGACCGCAGGTGCAGAGGCCCCGGGGCTGCCCAAGGTCAGCCAGGGCACGCGGATCGCTCTCGCCGCCCCCCCAACCCCCGTCTCCTCCACTCCCACCCCACACACGGGGCAGAAGGACCGCGGCCGCGCAAACTAGGGCCTCATTTCCAGATCGAATTGGTCGCAAATACGTCCCCTCGCCAGAAACTGTAAAAGGCCAGAAGAAAATAAACCGGATTCAACTCCCTCTCATCTCCAGATCTCGGTTGGTAACACTAACGTTTCTTTTGCTGATTTTTTTTTTTTTCCGACACTATCTCCCTTCAAAACGCTGCGCACTTCTACCCAACCGCGCAAAGCGCGGCGTGAGCTTCGGCGGCGCCGGGCGCATCTGGAGGGCCCCGAGCGCAGCTCTGGGACCAGCGCACCAAGAGCCGTCCCCGCCTGACCCGCTGCCAACATCCGACCCCGGTTGGGAACCCGGTTTTTCCTCCATAGTCCTGTAGACTGTTTCCCTCATTCCGTTGGTCTAGAAGGGGACAAACGACCGGAGGTGGGAGGGGGCTTCCCTGGCTTAGTCCCCGCCCTGTCCCTGCTGCCCCGATGCTCCCGGGACCTGCGGAGCTAGCGGATCCAGTCCGAGAGCTGTGCTGGGCGCCCGAGAGAGCGCACGGCTCAGCATCCCCCAGTCCCTTCCCTGGCCAGGAGTCACTCACAAACTCAAAGATGAAGAGCAAGTCGGGGAAGGTGGTGAAGACCGAGAAGCCACTGGGCAGGGTGCTGCCCCCCGACGCCGCTGCGGGGGCCATGAGGGCGTGCTGGCGTGGGCCTCGGGACTGGACGCGCGCCGCTCAGACTGCGCGCAGACCTCTCGCTTGCTCCGCGGAGCCCAGTGGCCTGGGCGCCCCCGCGCGCGGGTTAAGAGCAGGGGAGCCGGAGCAGAGGAGGGAGGAGCCCAGGCCGCCGCCCAGCTCCGCCCCCAGCCCCACGCCCCGGGAGACCCGGCCCGAGCGCCGCGGGCACCGCCCTGAACCTCCTCGAGGGCCCGCTGCGGGCGTGCAGAGCTGGGGACGGTGGACCTGACTCCTGCGTTCCAGCCGTGGGTGGCACCTCTTGTGGGAAGCAGGGCAAAACCACTTTGGTCAGGGGCTCCTCATGCCTTTCTCGCTTCGTAGGTGACCAGTATCTCCTAAGAATGTTAACCATCAGTAACCGGGACCCCAAACCCACCAAGGCACCCCTCGGGTCACCATTGCTCTAACTTTGAATTTGGGTCTCCTTCATTTTGCCGCTGGATGCGTTAATGTGCGCGACCCACAGCTCCAGGCGGCGGTTTCCTGGCGGAACGGGACCGCCGCCACAGCCTGGGGGTCTGCAGTGGGGGCTGGGACCAGCCCCGGCCGCCGGCCCGTTCCGCGTACCCCGAGCCGGCGCTGGTTCGGCGCTGGGAACGTGCACCGGGGCCTCTGTACTTGGCGCTGCGCGCCTGCCTGAGGGAAGGAGGTTGCTCCCAGCCGTGCCGGCCCCAGCAGAAGGCTGCTGGTGGTGGGGCTGGGGCAGGTCTGCCTTGGTTCCATGGGACAGGAAGGGACGTTACCAGAAGAGATTCATCTCTTTCTCTTGGTCTGGGCAGCCCGGGCCTTTGGAGGGTGGGACCGCTGCTACCTCCACCCGCATGTTCTTTGCTGCCTGTTGACTGCCGGTGTTTCCTGTTTTGTTTCTCTGTTTCACTATCTATTACTTTTTGCCTTAAAAAAAAAAAAAAAAAAACAAAACAAGTATTACTATACAGCAGTTGCCTATTTATTTTAATTTACTATTAATAGTGGATTGCTGTGTTTCCTCCTACAAACACTGAAGCCTGAAATCCGCCCCCGTCCGGATTCTCTCCTGCCAAGAGGGGATTGTCCCCGCAGCCTCCAGCTCAGACTCCCAACCCTTCTTTCTTTTCACTGGCAGCTGCTGCAGGCAGGACAAGGGGTTCCCCTCTCTCCCCTCTCTCATCTCTCCCTGCTGCACAATTCTTCCTCCTTCCCAGTCCCTAGGGAGAGAAGTACATTCGTGGACGCATTTTCCAAAGAAAAGTAGCGCTCCCATCAGCTGGCCATTCTAAAGCGCCTCTGGAAAGGGGCCAGGCATTTGAAATGAGAAAACCCCGATGTGCCTCTGAGAGCTGCTAGCTCGGATGGCTGCAACCAAGTTCACTGTGTCGGGTCCCCAGGGCAGCATCTCTCTGGGCACAATGGGCTGTGGGACTTCAGAAGCCCAGGTCCTCACCCACCGTGGGCATCTCATAGCTCGCTAGTTGGACCTGCTGGCCTCTGAGAGGACATCTTCTTCCTCCCCAGGAGACCGTCCTGGGAACAAGCCTTAAAGCAAGGTGGCTACAGGAAGCCGCAGCCTGCAGTGGGGGGTGAGATGACCCTCGGGCAGTCCAGCGAAAGCAGCTTGGAAATTTCCCATCAGCACACACTAATTAAAAACAAGAAGATCCTATCAACTCCTAATAATGTCCTTGCCTGGTCTGGAGGGGTTTTGTCTGTAGTTTGGTTTGGTATTTTGCTACTTCTTTCACGCCTCTGTTGCTAACTCTTCCCACTTGGGCCTGAGCCTTTGGGGAAAGCTCACTCCAGGGGCAGCTCAGTCGAGCTCAGCAGTCCCAGCCCTCCTTTGATAAGGCAGAGGGGCGGCAATCTCTGAAAGAGGCTTCAGAGGATGAGGAGGGCAGCCCGGCCAGGGTCAAGCGAGTTTGTCCCTATCTCTGTGACTCCTTCCTTCCACTGGAGTTCTCCGCCTGATGTTCATCTTCATGACTAGACTCTACCCTCAGCAGGGCGTCCTCCAACCACCCCCATCTGCCTCTCTCCTTCCCCACCCTAGCATATCCTCAGCCCCAAGCCGAACCCAACCTCTGGTGAGTGCTCGATGCTGGATGGCTCCAGCCTTGTCTGTGCTTGACCACCAGAGGAGGACATGTAAGTGCCCTGTTTGGATGTAAGAAGCACTGGTAAGGAGTGAGGCACTGGTAATAGAGAGGCATTGGTAAGAGAGAGGCATTGGTGAGAGAGAGGCATTGGTAGGCTTCCCCAGGTGCTCTAGGTCACCTGCTGATGAACGAAAGGCATTGGTGAGAGAGAGAGAGAGAGAGAGAGAGAGAGAGAGAGAGAGAGAGAGAGAGACATTGGTAAGAGAGAGGCATTGGTGAGTAAAGATGGGCCTGTCTTCATTTCCCAGCACAGCTTCCCCAAGTGCTCTGGGCCACCTGCTGATCAATGTGGTGGTTGATACTTATCAGAAGCCCAGGACCATATTTTGGTTTCCAGCAGGATATGAAAAAATAACTTCAGCCAGTAGTAACTCAGTGAGTGTCCTCAGTCTTCCCAGTGGGTGTGAATAAGAGGGTGGATCTGGGGCTTCTGTCAAATATTAACTTGGCCTTGGGCAGGTTTCCACAAAGTAGGAATTGGAAAGTTGCCATTGCAGAGCCAGCCTGGGGAAGGAAGAGGTTACCTCCAGCTTGTGTGTGTTCAGGGGGAGGGAGGAGATTGTGGGGAGAGGGATGTGTTTAGGGAAAGATTAATGGGGCAGGAGTTGCCCATTCATAATAGCAGGTGCATTGGTTTTTGAGGTAGGTAAGATGACTCCCATTTTACTGATGAGGTAACAGAGGCTCAGAAGTGTTAAGTAGCTGCCCAAGGACACAGAACTGCTGAGCACCTTGAACCTGAGTGACACTGCACCTCTAAAGCTTCGAACCCTCGATGAAAACCCTGCTCAAGATTAGCAATTGCCATTCAAATGCCAGTTCCATGCAGACATCGGCAGCCTCCCAAATCCAGTCTTCATGGTCATCTCAGGCGTGGCCCTGGGCACCTGCCCTGGTGGACAGGGCTTGGGACCTTCACCTCTGGGAACAGAAGGTAGTGGGGGTCGTCATCCCCATTTATGGATGCCGAGGCTGGGTGCAGACATGAGTTCAGAGAGCTACCCTGAACCCACACTTATCCCTAGGGATTTTATTTGTCTCACAGACACAGTCACCCACAGCCCTGGGTTCCATCGAAGGCGTGAAGCAGTGAGGGCACCTGCTGGTGGATGGGGGAATGGCAGCCGCAGCTGCCTTGGCCTCAGTGCAGGAGGGGAATCTGTTACTAAGGGCCTGCTAAGTCCCAGCACTGCCACAGGCACTTTGCCTGCATGGCCTCATTTAATCCCACAGAGCCTTGCCGGCAGGTGTCACCCACCATACAGGCTAGCAATGGGAGTTAATGTGCCCAGACCACATGGCTGGTGACCAGGCCTCTTGATTCCAGCAGGCAGGCTCTGTGTCTACTGCACAAATCCACAAACTGGAAAATCAGAAGTGGTGGCTGCTCACCAGGGCACTGTCCTCTGACGGGCCACGGGCTCCGTGTGCCCACTGCCTCCAGGGACAATGATCTGCATGAGCTCTTTTCCCCACCCTCTTGTAGGATCATGTTTTCTAGAACCAGGGAGATGTGGCACAACAGGCTGGCATTGTCTGGGTGTCTTGTGGATGGGGATGGAGGGTAGAGGGTATGTGAGTAGGAAAGACAGAGTCCCTGCTCCCTAGGAGAGCTCTTTTCAAGAGGGACAGCAAGTGAGGCTGAGAGGCACCTGGCCAGGGCTTATGCTGGGCACCCTTTGCCCGTGACTGCAGGCAAAGTGCTCGGAGACTGTGTCTCGGTCTGTTCGGGCTGCTGTAATGAACTACGGTAGACCAGGAGGCTTGTCAACAGCAGGAGCCTGTTTCTCACTGTTCTGGAGGTTGGAAGTCCTAGATCAAGGTGTTGCAGACTCCGCGTGTGTTGAGGGTCTGCTTTCTGGCTCACAGACGGCACCTTCTTGTGGTGTCCTCACACGTTGGAGGAGGTGAAGGGTCTCTCTGGGGCCTCTTTTCTAAGGACACTGATACCATTCAAGAGGGCTCCATCTTTATGACCTGATCACCTCCCGAAGGTCTCAGCCCTGACACCATCATCTTGGGGGGTTAGGATTTCAACATAGGAATTTGGGGAGGGGACACAGACATTCAGATCATGGCAGGGAGCACATGGACCAACCGTTCTAGAACAAAGTTGGGGTGGGGGCAGGCTGCACGGTGGGGCCCTGTTTCTGAATACCTTTTGGGTAGTACCCCTGTGCCCACCCTGTGGATGTAACAGTAAACTCAATAGAGCCTCCTGTCTCCAGCCCACGTTCAGTAAGCGCTGGGCAATGGGGACGCCATGGAGGAGGGGCCCCTGCCTCTTTGAAGCTTATCATGAGGCTCAGGGAGCCCAGGTACACCACCGGCTCAGCCTGGTCTATAGGGAAGCTTGTGGGAGGAAGTGCCCTTTGGACTGGTGGGCAGTGGTTACCAGGTGAAGGGAGAGAGCCTTCCCGACACAAGAGCAGCACACACCAGGCCTCATGCCATCTCCTGGAGGAGGGTCTGGCACTGCACCACACATTGCGGGCTTCAAGCGCACATAGAGAGATCAACAGTGAGAGTCTGAGGAAAGCGATGGAGCAGGGAGGAGGCAGAATATAAACAGCCACAGGAGTCCAGGGCAGAAGGAACAGGCATTGGGGGCAAGTTCTGGAAGGGGAGGAGAACAGAACTGATGCTGCAGTGGAGCTTGAGGAAGGCCTGTGAGGCTGCATGGAATGTGGATGTGCAGGAAGAGGGAGGGAGGGTGCCAGGCCAAGGGGACAGTGCAGGTGAGCCCTGGGGCTGGGGAGGCCTCTGACCTGTGTGAGAAGGCGGCTCCTGGTCAGACCCAGAAAGGCCAAGGGCAGCCTGGGCTCAGGCAAAATGTAAAGGGTATGCCGCATACCTTGAACTTAGTCCATTCCCTCTGTTCAACTCCAGGAGTAAGATCCCTCTTCTTCCCTGTTTGGAGCCCGCCTTCTCTGCCCCAGAGAGAGACCGGACCCTGCACCTCCCCACGAGAGCTCACAACCTGCCCAGCAAGCTGCACCAGGAATTTGGCCCAACTTGCCCGAAACATCAGAGCCACAGGGCTGGGCCAGTGGGTCTCTGGAATGCAGTCCCAGCATGTTTGGGGCTAGGTTGGTTTGCTCCAGTGCAACGCATCTTCCTTCAGGTTTCACTCACAGCATCCCTCAGATAGCCGCCACCTGCCTTCTTAGACTCTGGAGTGGTTGTTAAGTAAATAACAGAATTTAGCAGATGCATCCTGCAAGGACCCTGGCCCCAGGCCTTTCTGCTCAAACTTATACTTCCACCTGGGGCTTCCTTCACCCGCCTTTGTCACTCCCTCGTGGATGACCAGGAATCCACCTTCTGGAGAAGCTGCCTGGCCCTACAGTCAAGGAGAGAGACTGTGGCAGTGGGGGCTCAAGTGCTAGATACCCTTCTTCTTAGCATTCCTATTTTCTCTTGGAAAAAATACACCCTTACTTAGAAAACAGAGGAAAACAGCATTGTCCTAATGCCCCCGATTCTTCCAAATCAAGGCAACTATTCTCATTTGTGCACGTGATCTTTTAGAACTCATGGAGAGGTGAACTCATTCCCTCTCTGAGCTTCTCTTTCCAGCTGGTGACTTGTCCATTCATTCAGCCTCAAACACACTCCCCTAGTGTCACACCCAGGCTGTGTGAGCACAGGGAGCCAGGCTGGACAGGGAGGTGCACGTGGGAGCCTGCGAGGTGCAGGCACTCCAGGGTGGGGCCATCAAGACCTTTCACAAGGCCAATGTGGGTTCTCCTCTAGGGGAAGAAAGCAGGGTCCAGTGAGGGTTACTGTTTCTCCTGTCCCTGGAATGCTTGGCCAGGGCCAAGCACTTGGAGCACAGCCAGAAGAAACAGGGCACAGGGACCAGCCCAGATGTCTCTGAGTTGGCCCAGGGGACTTGGAGATCAGGGACAGCATGAGATCAAGAAACACATCAAAACCATAAAACCTCAACAAAGTAGAATGCAAAAACCTGCTGCTAAAGAAGAATGGAATGTTTGCATGGAGGGTAGTAAGAAATTGTTACTTCACGTCTCAGTGCCCAGTGCTTAGCGCAGTGCCTGGCCCATGGGCAAGGCCATGAGTGCTTATTGAAGGACAGGGAGAAAGGGCGGGAAAAACGAGCTCACAGGCAGGCATCTTGAAAGCCAAAGAACCCTCAGACCCCACAGGGTCTGTCCTATTGGTTTCCTAAACTTGCAGCCCATGACACAAAGTGTGTCCTTTGGGTGCATTGGTTCCTGTTGTGGCAACAGACCTGTTTTTCAAGCAGTAGGGCCTAAAGGAAGAGGAAGGAAAAGCTCTTGGCCGCCCCAGGTCTTGGTCTATGATTCAGAGCTGCTAAGCCTTGGAAAGAAGGGAGGGGACTTGCCACCGTCCCACCTGGATGAGAGATGAGGAGGCGCCCAGAGAGGTGCACCTCAGAGGTGTGTAGGAAACCAGAGGCTGAGGAGCAGAGGGCAACCACAGCTGTGGAGGGGAGGGTTGCCCGCATCTGACCAGCCCGGCTTGTTTGGGAGCCACCCTGACCGTGCAGGACTAGGCATTGCATCCCGAGGAGTATTCAGACCCATCCCCTCTGCCTCACCTCCCAGACCCCAACCCCCAGGCCCATCTCTTTCCAGACCCCACCATCTTTCCAAACTATCACTTGCCAGACCCCATCACCTCTCAGATCCATCGCCTCCCCCAAACCCCTTAAAAAATCAGAGAGGTCAGAATCTTGGCGCTACCCAGTCCTCTGAGACATGACAGTCCCTCCCCACCAGCTCCAGGCCCGATCACTTGCTTTTTACGTGGGAAAGTACAGTCCCTTCTCACGAAGTGTTTAATCCGCTTGGCGTAGGAGGCCTGTGTCCAGGCTGTGGGATGACACCCTGCTGTGGGTGGAAAAGGGACAGTAGGGGTCCATGTACTGACACTGGAGGACGCCGGGACAGCGCTCTTTCAAAGTAAAAGAAGTGGCAGAGCCGTCGTTAAAGCGTAATCCATTGTTTGCTTCTAATAGAATGTGTCTGCAGACACAGAGGTAAATGTACACCTGGATAGACAGAAACTGGGCTCCTCACAACGGCTCCCTTTGAGGATGGTAGGATGGTATTGGGGGTGAGAAAGCGCTGGACTGAGGGCAAGACATGTCACATTTTCGTTAAACAGTGGACAAAGGGTGTAGAATTTGCAGCTGAAACCCCACTCAAGGAATGCACGCCTTGGCTCCAGCCTGCGGATCTGTGGAGGTCGCTTCACAGGCAGGGCTGGGCAGAGATGGCTGCGTGTTTGCTATCCCTGGAGGCCCGGGGCTGGTGAGCGGCCCCTCCGTGCTGGCCTCACTGCCCTGTGCCTTAGCCCTTCCTTCCCAAGAAAGGGTTGCCTGTTTCCGTGCCTGACACTTCTGACCTGGGGCCTCTGGCTTTCTCTTCTGCATACTGCCTTCCCCAGAGACGGCTGCACGCAGGGTCAGTGTGGTACCTCTGTCTTCTTCATAGGCGCCATCCTCTCTCTGGTCACATCATGAATGTACCACAGAATTCCTCCCTTCTGGGAGACCTCAGAGAGCACTCAGATTAGAGTGTCCTCAGGTCCTGGGTTAAAAATCTCCCTTCTAGGATGACTTGAGCCTGGGAGGCGGAGGCTGTAGTGAGCCAAGATTGTGCTACTGCACTCTAGCCTGGGCTACAGAGTGACTCTGTCTCAAAAACCAACCAACCAACCAACCAACCAAACAAACAAAGTCTCCCTTCTGCTATTTCCTTGCTGTGCAACTGTAGACAAATTACTTGACTTCTCGGTGCCTCGGTTTCCTTGTCCACACAATAGTGATGCTAATCTCTCTCCCAGGGCTATCTGTGGATTAAACGAGATAATGTGTGTGAGCGTCCTTGGAAGTACCAGGCATGAGGTAACACCCAGGACATGACAGCTGGTGTTGACATAAATGGAGGCTACCTGGGCTTCCCCAGGATTCTTCGCCGTCCTGTACGTGCCATGCCCTGTCTCATAGCTTCACTCTCAGGAGAAAATTTTTCTCCCCTATTTGAGTGCAGCTTCTATTAGGGAACATTCTGGTTCTCACACACACACCCAGATCCCCACCTCATCTCCAGGCTGTCACCTCCCAGGCCTAAGGCTATTTCTGTACCTACCCTTCTAGCAAGTGGCAGTTCTTGTTCTGGTCACCGCAGGAGCCACTGCACTGTGAATTCCTATACAGCAGAAGATGGGACGGCTACGTGAGCCAACCCCACAGCTGACAGCTGAGCCTCCAGCGAAACCCAAGGCTGACACAATGTGAGTGCCTCACTGTGAGCTCTTACAAGGGGCCGCTGTGGCCTTGCAACGCTAGGGAAGGAAAGCAAATTCAAAAAGCTCCCGGAGCTGTCATCAGCAAATAAAGTCTCTCAGTCCCAGTGGAAGCCCAGCCTTCGTGGGAACCCAGCTCTCATGGGCTCACTCCCTCCACGGCTCACTGGACCACCTGGTGCACTGACGGGGCCTCGTTAGCCCTTAGTCACCTGCTGAGCTGGCTCTGAAGGTTCTACCTCCGGTGGCCTCTCGGGCCTGTGAGGGAGGGCTGGAGCCCGCCCAGCTCAGAAGTATGACAGGACAGGTTTACCACTGGCAGGTTCTGCGTGGGGTCGGGCCTGGTTCAAGGGTCCTGAGGGATGGCTTAACGCTCAGAGGCTCCGTTTCACAGCTAGGAAGCGAATGTAGTTCACAGAAGTCCCACCCATGCATCTGGACCCCCTGCACTAATTTGGGGACTTGGTCCTTTCTGCTTTTTCTGTGTTGGGGAGGAAGGGGTGAGGAGTACAGGTGTGCACCACTACACCTGTCTAATTTTTGTATTTTTTTCTGTAGAGACAGTGTTTTACTATGTTGCCCAGGCTGGTCTCAAACTCCTAGGCTTTTTCTTTTTTTTGGGACAGAGTCTTTCTCTGTTGCCTAGGCTGGAGTACAGTGACGTGATCTCTGCTTACTGTAACCTCTACCTCCGGGGTTCAAGTGATTCTCCTGCCTCAGTCTCAGTAGCTGGGATTACAGGCACGCACCACCACGCCCGTCTAATGTTTGTATTTTTGATAGAGACAGGGTTTCACAGTTGGCCAGGCTGGTCTTGAACTCCTTATTTCAAGCGATCCACCCACCTCGGCGTCCCAAAGTGCTGGGATTACAGGCATGAGCCACCGCACCTGGCCCTGGTGGTGGTTCTTAACAAAGGTCAGTGGCTTCCTGGACTTTCTGAATAACTTGTGGACAAATGAAGAGAGTCCTCAGGGACTTTCTGAGCCTGGTTAAGTTTGATATTCATAAATGAGAAGTTTGGTACCAGAGTTTTCTAAGGCCCCAGTTCAACATTTCCCTAAGAAATCTGTCTGGCAAGCTGCATCTAGCTTCTGAGCCTGCACACATGCACATACAGGAGTGTGTGCACACACACAGTTACCATTTCTGCAATTTTGAGAAAGGCCTCGATATCACAAGCATTGTTACCATGAGTTTCTCATGGTTTCCAGCTGCTCCTGCACTCGTATTGACGAATACAGCCTTAGAGAGATTTACTGCTTTCTTTTGTGGATGGCTTTGTTCCTGTGTTGATGAATCACTTCCATTTCACCGTGGTCTGCGTGGTCATCACGTTCTTCCTGCATGGGAAACTAGAAGCAAGTCTGGTGAGCAGTCACCGAAAATCTTGCAAGCCCTGGCCCAAGAGCTCGTGTCTAGAGATGGCCTCACTCAGTTAATCCAAGAGGCTTCCAGATAGCCAAGGGGTCTGGGGAGGGTGACCTCACAAGGGACTGAGGACATGGGAGACCACCCTTCACGCTGGTGAAATGGACCAGTGGCTGCAGGCTTGGCTCCATCTAACATCAGGGAGGCCTTGGTAGCTGTGCCAAGCTGTGGGGGGCTGTTGTCATGATCCAAAGAATAATGGGCAACTGTAGGGAGGCCCACGGGCTCAGGGGCTCAGAAAGCCTCTATTTTCAGGAGATCCCAGTATGTGGCCAGCAATGTTTTCTCTAAGGTGTACAGCGTGGAGCCAAGGAGGGCAGTTTTTTCTCAACAGAAGCCCACAGGGCAACTCATGGCTGCATTGGGGGTCCGCAGACTCTGGGAGGCAGGAGGAGGCTGCCAAAGAATCTGCAGGGGAGGAGTCTCCTAGTGCACCAATGGGAGTGGTGGCGGGGGAGGAGTCTCTGAGTGCACCAATGGGAGTGGTGGCGGGGTCGGGAGAGTGAAGTTTGCTGGTGACCGCAGCAAGGTGTGTAGCACGAAGGAGACAGGTAGGCTGCAGCCCCCACCTGGGCAGCGTCAGCACTGAGGCCAGGGTTCCACTTCTGTGCGGGGGGGAGTCCGGCAACACCTTCCTTCACAGGAGTTGCTTGAAAGACACAGACAAGCCAGGATTCTGCCCCAAATAAGAGTAAACACTGATGCTGTAGAGCTAATGAGCCCTAGGACAGGCCTCCACCACACACACAGGAACGCCTCCCCCAGGAAGAGAAGAGCTGCTGTGGTTCTCCTCACTCCCCTCGCCCTAACGTGAGCCTCCTGGGCTGGTGTCCAGTCCTGGAGTTTAGTCAGTCAGCTCTGTCCACTTTGAATAGTCCCACACTGAGGACATTTGGGTGGGGAGAGACTCGGCAATCCCTGGCAGACGCAGCAGCAGGCAACTGGACTGAAGTGCAGGCTCGAGTTCTGCCCCAAACCCTCTCGAAGTGGCCTGGGAGAAAACGACAAGCCAAGGGCAGTCCCTGACGAAGCTGTCCAAGCGCCAGCGTCACGGCCACGCCATCCTGCTCACAATGCCGTTTGTTTTGTAAGATTTCAATGTTCTTTTGACGGTGGACACAACACAAACACTCTGGAAGAGATGAAAGGCGGAGCTTTTGATTCCTTACAGCTCCAAAGGAGAGCTGGCTGCCAGGCAGGGCCACTCAGGGGGCTCACCCGGGACGACGGGCCAGCACGCCGGGGCTATCTGAGCAGCTCATACATGGCAAGTGGGGTGGGCTGAGATGGGCTTCATGGGCTCCCTGGGAATTGATTCATTGACACAATTTTGCAGGCTCAGGAGGCTGGGAGCCATCCCGGGTTGTCTGGAACTTGACACCAGGCAGCTAGGGCAGGGGCATGGCGGTCTGGAGAGATGGTCATAGTGGCAGCCCCTTAAGGGAAGTGGTTAGAATGTAGACTTAACTGCTCAGGAAAGTAAACTAAGTGGCATCTAACCAGGGCCTCAAAACTGGATCAAGACAGTATATACATACAATTTTATTACAACTGGCTCAGGTGGCAGAGGCCTCTTCCAGGCCCGAGAAAGCAGCACCTCAGCACCCTGGACCTGCCCACCCCTGCACACCGGAGAAGGAGCCCAGGTTGAGGCCAGTCCAGGTGATGCCAGTCTCCCTGCCATTGTTGGCTCAGGTGTGGGCATGCTCCACAGCCCCTGCCAATGACAGAGCTGAACTGTTCGGTTTCCACTCTCACATTTACTCTACTGGCATCAAGCACCTGCTCTTTTCTAGGCACTACTGTGTGAACAGGGAATTCACACGGGATAGAACAACGTCCCTTCCTCGGGGAGCCTCTGCCCTAGGGAGAGAGCTCTGCTGTGGGTCAGGGTGTTCTCATCGCCTCCCACTCACCCTGCTGTTGAGGGAGGGATTCTCATTCCAGGGTTATGGGGATGGCCCAACACACAATGTTGACACAATGGACAGATGGCACGGACAAAAGTTTATGAGGCTCGTATGCCCACAGGCTAGGAGAGGAGGACACAGGGCCCATGGGAGCTGTGGTGGAAGCAGAGGGACCTGGCAGGGGCTGAAGGAGGCAGACTTTGCAGTATTAAGAGAATGGGGTGACCCTAGTTTCTCTCTGGTGATGTGATTGGCTTGTTTGAATAATTCTGTGGGCCGATAGGGAATGGAAATGCAGGGACAAGCAGGAACTGTGACTGGCCCCCTTGAGAAGGAGGGTAGAGGCGTGCAGAGGGGAACTTGTGGTTAGGCCATTCGAAGCCTTCCCGGTTTCACCAGATGTCAAGGCAGCGCATAATTTCATTAATAATATTAGTTTTAGACCTTACACAAGAGAAGGCTGCTTCTGGGATGTGGCTTTTCTATGTCCTTGGGCCTTGTTGTGTAAATATATGATGCTTGGAGCTGCCACAGCCTCTGTGGGAAGATGAGTGAAAAGCCATAGAAATAACAGAGAGGCCGACTCGGGCCCCGACTGGGGTGGAGCTGCTGAATTACTCAGTCTGGGGGTGCTGTGCCTCCAGCCTTTCCATTATGTGGGATGTGGCACCCAGTTCCTCATTGTTTAGGCCTCTCTGGGTTGGGATTCTGTTCCTGCCACTCAGAAGTAGCCTGGTCCTGTGCTCATACTGCGTGATCCTGCATGTATCAGTGGCCCTAGCTCTACGGCACTGAGCAGCTTCTTCTGCATCTGTGCATTTCTCTGTGCTGGTCTGATGAAGCCTGGTGTGCATTCTTTTCTTTTCTTTTCCTTTTTTTTTAAGAGACAGGGTCTTGCTCTGTTGCCCAGGCTGGAGTGCAGTGGCACAATCATGGCTCACTGCAATCTCGACCTCCTGGGTCCAAGTTATTTTTCCTTCTCAGCCTCCCAAATAGCTAAAACTACAGGTGCATGCCACCATGGCTGGATAATTTTATTTTTATATTTTTGAAGAGACAGGGTCTCATTATGTTGCCCAAGCTGGTCTTGAACTCCTGGCCTCAAGCAATCCTTTCACCTCCGCCTCCCAAAGTGTTGCAATTACAGGCATGAGCCACTGTGCCTGGCCTGATGTGCATTCTAAAAAAAATATATATATATATATATAAAAAACAAGCCTCAATGTCTCATTGGAGGGTAACAGGAGGAGGAGTCCATGGAGGGGCTGGCCAGTCCTGGAGCCAGAGTGTGGGCCTTTCAGGAGGGATATCCCACCTGGTCTGCAGGACTGGAGACCAGCAGGGCTGAGGTGAGTCCTGGGCCACTCTGGCAGCAGAGGAGGTCAGAGCCAGTGACCCGCACTGGGGAGCCAAATACGAGGAAGCTTTAGAAGAGGGGAGTGTCCCCTCTGCTGTTGGCACTGACGACCTGAAGACCCATCTAAGTGCTCATTGATGACCAAGAGGACAAGGTGTTGATGCCCATGACTTGGGCCGCCATGAGCCACTGCCCCTGGAGGTAGGGGGCTCCTCTAGAGGATGGCAGCCTATCTCATGGCCAACGATAACTTACCTGTGAGCTTGTTGGGGCTTGGGGGCTCTTCCTTGCACCCAATGACTTACACGCAAGGTTGCTGGTACCAGGAACTCTTTGCCAGGTTTCTGACTGGTGGCTGGAGTCATCTGATGGCCACTTCTGTCCTCTAAGCCCCACCTGCCCTTCTGAGGATGAGAGGATGGGCGTGGCCACTTATTGAACATATATTAAGTGCCAAAGGCTTTTTACTCATGATCTCTAAACCTTACAACCTTCCTTATAAACAAAGGAATTGATGTTCAGAGAGGCTGAGTGACTTTCCTAGGCCCACACAGCAAAGGAATGGTGAAGCCTGATTTGAACCCAGGTTCCTTCTTCAATGCAGAGCCTGCTCTTCCCTCTGGCTACCATCCTGTGTATTCAATGCTTTGAGCAGTTGCCTCAGTGGCAGGCTGGGCTGTGACATCTTCCCTGAGCCGCAGTCCCCTCATCTGTAAATTGGGATCACAAGAGTTGAGAAGGAGGTGCCTGGTGCCTGGCACAAAGCAGCGCTTGACTACCCATGCCAGACCCTCTGCATGACCTGCCTCTGGGTCAGACTCTGACCTT